GTGCAGTCTGCTCAGATGCTGCCATAAGGGAGCAGGATGTGGCCTGGCCTTGATCCTTGTGGTACTGTGGTGGCTCAGACTGGGTCAGGACAGTCTGATAGGGCCAAAAAAGAGTCCTGCCATCTCTCTGCTTCCTGAAGAAGCTTCTCAGGGATCAGGATGAGTTTTAAGTGAGAGAATTAAATGGTTCAGAGGCTGCATCATTTGCATTTTCTGAAAAAGGCACGAACCCCTGCTTTCCTTAGGGACAGTGTTAAGGTGATGGCAGAAGTGGTGAGTGAAGCACAGCCTGTGGCCAGGAGCAGGACCTAACCTTGCCTTCCCCTGTGGGGTGAGGAGCCAGAGGAAATTCAAGTGGGCATCTGAAGACAGGTTGTTGCAATAGTTGGCTGCATTCCTCCTGCATGTATAACACAAAAATGAAGGTGCCCCATGGCAAAGCAATGGCATGGCAGGATGCAGTCAGTCCCAGCAGCTCCAAAAACTTTTCAAGGGCTGTAAGGTACTCACATAGCCCTCCTGGGATCATAGCTGGGGGTTGAAAGATGTGTCCTTGCTTCATGTGAAAGTCCCATGGTTTATGAAATGCTGCTCATGCCCCGATTGCCCCTTCTTCTCATCTGGATAAAGTTGTGGTGTTGTGCCAACCTCACCTGCCACATTATTAAGAGTGATGTGGGCTGCTGGTGGAAGAGGCATATTGGAGAGCAGCTGCAGGTCAGACCCAGGTATCAGCAACCCAAATCATATGCAAGAAGATGGAAAGGGGGTGGAACTGCAGGCCACTCAGAAGCTGCATCACCTAGGAGATGTAATTTACTTTTTTCTCACATCCTCTGTGAGTGCTGACTTCTCCAACCAAGCAATCATCTGTCTTCAGGGGAAAGGACATGAAATGTTAGGTGACTGCAGTGGCACCTCTTGGGCAGCATGCAGAGAGGGCTGTGAAGCATGAGCCCTGTCTGCCTCTCCCAGCTGGACAGGACTGTGATGCTCCAGCCCTGAGTGGACTCCATGTGGGGCCAGCACTCTGCCAGAATCCTCAGGCTCCCACAGGGAGCTTTCCCCCAGACTCTTCAGCTTTCTCAGATGCAGGAAGCTCCAGCATATACTGCTGCTGCAGTGAGCAGAAAATCAGCTGAGAGTCTGCTGTGCCCTGATCGGCCAGTCACGGCTCGAAATGAGACACATGAGCCTTGGGGCTACTTGGCTGTCATTAAAATGGTGTGGATGGAAGGACAAGTCTAATTGACTAAACAACAGCCTGCACTGTGTAATTAAACTAATTGTGGCTCTACCTGCATGGGTCAGAAGTCATTTGTATGTCTGTTAAATCACTGACAAATAAGGGGTGGGGAGGTGTGTGAAAGTATTTCTTACATATGTTTCCATAGGTCATTTTTCTGTTTCATTTTGGGCAATTTTATACCCTTGAAATTTTTGGTTTCTGTCAAATTTGAGAGGATTGCTAATATTTGATGCTGAAGCAAGGGAAAGTAAAAAGGTCACTGTTGTTAGCAACAGTGTTTCAGGAGGCAGAGTTTCAAGTGGTGGCAATACTTTCTCAGTATTCGCTTTTCTGAAGCAAAATCCCTCAAAAAAAAAGACAGTCTGTTTGCCAGAATGCATTTCAGTCTGGCTCTGCATCCACTGGGGAAAAGGCAATTGTTTTTATTGAGCAGCAGACCAGGACTTTTACACGACTAGGTGAAACACAAGTCACTCCTTTACTGCCAGGAATCTATGGCATTAGCTTTCACGGATTGCTTGGAAAGCTCTCATTCAACTTCTTCCAATGGTGCATTTGTAAGACGTTGAATGAAAAACCTGCTCTAGTATCATGTTGAAGCTTTGACCTTGTTTTCAAGTCCTTGCAAAATAGAGTCACCTCCATCTTGTAGCTCTGCTCTTATTGATCATTTTGAGTCCTTCAGGCATTTTGTTGTGCCCAAAGCACCGTGTGCTTTTCAGAACAAATAATCTGACATGACAGAGAGCTGCTGAACTGACTGCTCTCTCTGTGCTGTCAGCACAGGACAAAGCTTTGTGTTTGTGCTAGAGGAGACCTGTGTGGATAAGTGGAGGGGCTAACATTTTGTTCTTGTGGGACCTCTTGTTCAGTATGTGAGCAACACAGGAGTCAAACACTTCATCTGGGGTGGCTGATGTCTCTGTTTTTGCTGGTTTGGGGAAGGATATGGCACATCTGGGCTGTGGGACATGCACAAGTCCTTCTGTCCTAATCATCCATCACTGCAGAGAGACAGGACAGTAGGTGGGATGGATCCTCAGCAGGACCCTCTTGCCTGTTTTTCTATTTCTTGACTGTGAAGAAACCTCTATAAATGTAGCTTACTCTTTCTGAGCTGGAGATGAAGGACCTCACTTTTCAGGCAAGAAGAAATTGCCAGTGTGGTCTGCTGCTCCTTTATCATCTTACCCCAAGTCTAGGAAATATGAGGTGTGACCATCTAGCTGCAGTATCACCACAGAACTGTGGCAACAGGAACAGGGAAAGAGCACAGGGAGAGCAGGATATAGAAATACTTTTTAAAGACAGCAGCTTAGCTTCTGTTTTTTGTCTACTGAAGAAAAAAGTGAGTCTAAATGGCTTTTGCTGTGTCCAATTTGTTATGTCTCCAGGCATAGCTTATTACCCTGACTTAGCCCAGCTACGAGTTCTTCCCAAGGGTTTTGGTGCTATTTTTTCTCTTCTGATTTATAAATTTTCTTTATGTTACTTTCCTCCTACATGTTCTGTATAATCTTTTTCTCCCTGCCTTAGTAAGGAGCCATCACAAAGTGTAGGACAGAAATGGGATCTGTCAGCCAAAGCCTCTGAGTGTCCCACAATGGTCTCTTCTGGCATCTGCCTCATGGGCTATGTGAAATGGTCTCTTCTCTCCATTTTCATGCTGCCACTTACTGCTGGGCTTACTCAACCATCCTGGGGCTAGAGGAGTGAGGGTGAGGCTTGGTGTGGGCTACACAGCTCAGGTAGTTTGGTAACAGACTTTGTCCCACAGCAACGGGATTTCTGGTTTCTCCACTGATTTATCAGAAGGAATTACAGTTATTTCCTGGTTCAGCCATTCCCTTCACAGTTGATAGACTTTTTCTAACCTCAGTGATGAATTCTGTGGGGGAACAAAATCCACCTGCTGTAATCATGGGATGCCTACTGTAGTAGTAAGGAGTGCCTTACTGTCATAAGCAGGAGTGATACTGCCATTGGGCCTGGACTTAGGAGACCATCTCTATCCATTACACTTTAGAAACGCTAGTTAATGAGTCCCCCAAACATCCCATGGGACTAATGAGTACTGTTTCTTTATGAGAGTAGACTGCCAAGTCTAGTAAGAAGCTCAAGCAAAGTCAGCTTTAATTGCTAGAGCTGACACTTCTTAACAGCATTTATTTATTTCCTGGTATACTAATTTTGTTTTTCTTTTTGTTTGTTTGTTTGTTTTCCAATGTTTGCATCTATTAATGTTTTGTCAACAGACTACTCTGGGAGATTGTAGCACTGACCACACTCAGGACTCTTGGTGAGGATTAAATTTGTCTCTGTAAAATGTGCTGAGAAGTGGGTGAGAGCAAATCCCATGCCAGTCGTGTCTTCTGTGCTGGCTGAGGGCCAATGCTGATGGGAGAGGATAAAACCAGGAAACGTAAAGAGTGTTATTTCCTTGGAAGAGTCCCTTAACCTCCAACAACGTCCAGCTCAAGATTTTGCAGAATTGCAGTAGTAGATTCTGGTGGATTTTCCTTCCATTATTTATCCCCTTAATTTCATCTTCTAAAGTCATATAAACTCAGCATCCAGCATGTCCTGCAGTGGGGAGTCTTGCTCCATAGCTGTACATTTTCTGGAATATCACCTCTTCCTCTTTTTGAATATACTACCTGCTGGTCATGGTTTAATCCCTTGTAGTTCTTGTGTCAGAAATGGTGAATACTTAGAACGGTGTATTCTATGACACTGATACATTTCTAGGCCCCTGCCAGCTACCTCTTCCAAAGAATGGATCCTGTTTGATTTATACTCTCTTCACATGGAAGTTACTCCACACTTTTAATCAGCCTTTTGGCTCTCTTCCATACCTTTTTCTGACTTTGCAATAGCTTGTGTGACAGAAAAAGAGAACTGCACTTATTTTTCAAGACACAAGAGCAACATTGGGTTAGACACAGGTGTAGTAACATAGCTTGCTCTTGCTCTCTTTCAAACTGTTTTGATGTGATGGTTATATACTTCTTAGGAACTAAAATCAATGCAGGTATCAACTAAATTTTTTAGTCAGACTTATGCAATTAATCATCATGACTTTGGAGTCCTGACTTAATGGGATTTCAGTAGTGCACAGGCTAGCTCTAGTCACAATGAGCACAAGCTGGGGATTACAGTACCACATGCAACACGGTGTACAGGGAGGAGCTGAGCAATTGCCTTGCCATATGCTGCAGGTGCACAGCTGTCGACACGACTGTGTTGCTGCTGTGGTGAGGGATAAATGCATGGGATTTCCAAGTGGAGCACATCCATAGAAGAGGTGCTGCTGCAAAGCTGTCTTTGGCTGGCTGGGCCATACAAACTCTCAGATGGCTCTGTGACTGCTGCACTCAGTTTTGGACCCCAGACCTGGGAGGTCTGGCACCTTCATCATGCCCTCCTCCACTGTCACTCACACAAGACAGATATATTTCTGTGCTGTGAGGTGGGTCACCCACAACCTGTGGTTTTGCTGCATGCCTACTGGTCCCGAAACTTTTCCTGCAGAGCACTGGGATGAGAAGCAGATAAGATGAGAGTTGAGAGATTTGTTATGTATTGGTAACAAGCAAGTCTGACACACTACATTGACCCAGGACACCTTCTCTCCTTTCTCACCAGGACCTTTGCCCAGTCCTTCCCATCTTGTATTCTCGTGGCCAGGGCAGAAACTGCCTTTCCTGCTCCTCCAGCCCCTCAGCAAGAGTGGACATACTTCTGAGTCACCATGGGCAAGATGGACAACACTTCCGTGGAGCTGAGCTCTCCCTCTGAGGTGAAGCAGGCAGCCCTGGAGGAGCCAGAGCCCATCAGCCCTGAGGTTGTGAGCACCAAGAAGAAGAAGAAGGAGATCCCAGACAGAGGTTCCTGGAAGGGGAAATTTGACTTCTTGCTGTCCTGTGTGGGCTATGCTATTGGTCTGGGCAACGTCTGGCGCTTCCCTTATCTCTGTGGCAAAAATGGAGGAGGTGAGAGAAATGCACAATGAGCAGCCTTGTACCTGAGCAGGTTTTGGCTAGGTGTGGGTCTGGGCAAATGGGTGGTCCTGAGTTATTAAATTGTTCGGAGGCAAGTTTCCATGATCTGTGGGCTTTACTAGCAATTGCAGGCTGGGAAGAAGCAGTCCAAAGAAATAAAACAAGCAGTTTGAGTTCTGTCATGCTTGTGCAGTCCAAATTTGCAGGGCTAAAAAAAAAAAAAAAAGAAGCATGTAGGAACTAATTTAGTTACAGGGAGAGCTATGCACAAATAGGGGCACCTCCAGAGAAACCAGTTTACATCTGTTAAATGTTGGCTTCTCCTCAGTCTAGCATATTCTCAAGGGAATTCTCCCTGCTCAGCTACAGAATTTCTGCACATCTTGGATCAAATCAGAAAACACACTTCTGTGCCTCAGCTCCCCTCTGAAATGGTGCTCTTTCTTCTATCTTGTCAGGGAGATGCTTTTGTGGAGGGGAGTACAGGCAAGTGTCAGTAGAGCAGAGGCTCTTTCTTCTCACTCCATGCTGAACTCTCCCATTGCTTGTGCCTGTTACTAAAACAGCCTTCCTTCTCCCCTTTGAAGAGCTGCTCCCTTCCTTGAACCATTTAACAGACTTCCCACATAAGTCCAACTCCTTTTCCTCAGATTTAAGGCTGTATATATAATTTTAGGGTTTGCCTGCTAGTCCTCCCACATTGCTCTTTGCTTCCCTCTTAGCTCTTCCTGGCCTGGAGTCCCCATCCCAAGTAACACACTCATTCATGCTGCTCTGAGGGTGTCTTCTCAAATTCCTTCTCCATGTCTTTTTTGTTTTTCTTTTGCCTGCGGCTCTCATAACTTCTCATATCACCAACCCATTTCTGCTGTTGCAAGCAGTATAGGATGCTCTTCTCCTCCAACCCTGGAAAAGAGGAGAAGGGTCTTGTTCCCTGAAGCAATGTCCATTTAACTTCATGACATTTAAGGGTATCTAGGCCCTTTCTCTGAAGCATGTGGAGTGAGTGCCAGCAGGAAACCAGAAAGTTAACAATTTCACCAGGAAGATTTCTAACTGACCATGTTGTTTTCACAGAATTGTAGAATCACAGGATGGTCAGGTTTGGAAAGGACCCTAAAGATCAGCCAGTTCCAAACCCACTGCCAAGGGCAGGGACACCTTCCACTAGATTGCTCAAAGCCACATCCAACCTGGCCATGAACACTTTCAGAGATGGGGCATCCACAGCTTTGGGTTTTGTGGAGAGGTGGAAATGCACAGCTGAGCTGAGTGAGGTTTATGGGAACACCCAGGCCTGCCCTGGGGAGCCTGTGCCACCCATGCCAGAGCCACAGTGCAGGTTTGTCATCTTTGGCCACACTCTGACTGCCTGCTCTCCTCCTAGAACATCTACCCGTGGTTAGGTCCCAGCACTGGTTGTTAGCCAGCATCTCCCGTGTGGTTGCTGTGTCAAGTCTCACACCAGCTCTGTGCTGCCCGTGACTGTCTCCTCACACAGAAAGGTGCAGATGACAACGCCTGTAATTAGATGAAGCTAAAATCAATCCTACATGTAAAGTCAGCTGAGAACCTAGGACGGAGGGTGCTGTAGAGGTGTGGAGCGCTATTATTCGCATTAGCAATGGCACACGGGGTGATCTGCCCTGACAGCTGCGGGCACGCAGAGGGAGCCGCCGGCTGCGGGCAGAAACGCCAGGCAGACGAAATGCGGGAATCGATTCCTGGCCGCTCCCAACACCCTGCCTCCCCTGCCGCTTGGTGCCGTTCGTGGCAGCCTGGATAGCTCCGTCTTGTCGCCCTGCCGGCAGCGGCTGCTGGCAGGCCCAGGAGGGGCGAGCGGAGCCGCCGCGGGGCCGGCGCGGGGCCGGTGCGGGGCCGGTGCGGGGCCGGTGCGGGGCCGGTGCGGGGCCGGTGCGGGGCCGGCGCGGAGCCGCCGCGGAGCCGCCGCGGGGCCGGTGCGGGGCCGGTGCGGGGCCGCCGCGGGGCCGCCGCGGAGCCGGCGCGGGGCCGGTGCGGGGCCGGTGCGGAGCCGGTGCGGAGCCGCCGCGGAGCCGCCGCGGAGCCGCGCCGAGGCGGAGCTGACGCACGGAAGCGTCACCGGGGCTGGAGCGGAGCGGCGGGGGCGCACGGCAGCTCCTTCGCAAGCGGGTGGGCACCGCCTCGGCTCTGCCTGCACGGAGGCGCCTCCGGAGCACGGCAGACTGGGGGTGGAACGCTAATTTTAGCGTTCCGCGTGTGCGCCGCTCAGAGCGCGGTCGTGTGGGCTGCTTCCATTACGCACAGGCAAATTGAACTGAATCGAAATATTGTCGTCTCGCTTACCGCTGTCGCATTGCATCGGCTCACGGCTGGCTTGCTCGGCGCAGGGAGCCCAGGGCACGGCAGCCCAGCGCTCGGCCCATCCGCTGCGGGGTGCAGGCTTCACCCAAAGGGATGCCTGGGCTCCCTGCTGGCCCTGCACGCAGCTGGATATGCCTAGCTGTGCCCGTGGCTCCAGCCTCTACACTCATCTATAACCTTATACAGTCCCTCTGATCTCAGCAGAATTGTACCAGACTCCAAATTCACTCTGAATGCACTTGAGTACGTGCTAAAAAATGTTGTGAGATGCTAAGCTTGAATAACTTAAGAGAAAAACAATCCTTTAAATAAGCATCCCGCACTCCTCATTTGCATACTGAGACTCAAAGCAACAGAGTGTAACAGCTTGTAATGCTTTGATTCGTGGGCAGTGTTCCCTGCTTTAAGGATTAATTGTTGTTCCCTGCTGTAGGGCATTAGGAGCAGGCAGTTTTGGGGCTGCACAGTGTGCGCCAGGCGCTATTGATCCTTTCTTGCCTCCAAGGAAAAGTGCTCTGAGCAAGACCAGCATCATCACCTCTTTAACACCCATGGATCTGGAGACAAACTGAGACTTCCACAAGGTCATGCACAACCGTATTTTGTACTGGCCTGCAAAATTTAGATACAAATTTCAGAACTGATTTCCCATCTGACTTCACAGGACCTGGGGATATTATCCATGCCTGCTTGGGGACCTGGCCCTCCTGAGTGGCAGTGTCATTGCCAACAGCCTTCAGCTCGAGGAAGTGGTCTGGTTTCTAGATTTCCCACTATTCTTGAGAATCAAGCCAGGATAAAAGACCTGTGTCCAAAAATTTATTTGGTGGGTTTTTTTTTTTTTGTTCCACCCCCCCCCTCTCCCCCAAACAGTCTAATAAGATCTTTCACCTACAAACCTTCCTGACCTGCTGTAGATAAGAAGTGCAGGATCATCAGAGCTGCAGCCGAATTTCATTAATTGCTTTTACAGAAGCAAGGAAGAGACTTGCACTGCTGATAAGCTTGTCCTCCAAACTCCACAGCAGCAGGGTGTCAGCAGCCGTGTCCTCAGAGCAGACTCTGGCTTCCCACTGGGGCCTGGACCTTGCAGGCTGTGGTATCTAGTGAGCACACAGGGGAGGCTGCTGAGCAGGCACAGTGAGGCTCAAAGCTGTTCTTTCCTGTACATCAGGCTGCTGATGAAGCCAAGAACCCGCACTTCCACGCCAGCTTGTGATTCAGGTTCATGGTCACTGAGTTGCTGGCACAGAGAGTGTTTTCTCCCCACCACCCACTGCCAGCTCCTCTTGCATGCTGTCTTCCATGGACTTCCATGCCGAGTGCTGGCACCTGCCTCTCCCAGCTGGGTTCAGCTCCCTGCTTGGCAGGCAGATGTCCCCAGCTGGATGTCCCCTGAGCCAGCATCCCTGGCTGTGCCTGGCTGCTTCCCTGCCCTCAGAGAGCAGCTGCTGGAGCCTGGCTCTGCTGGGTGCAAGCTGGGTCACAGCTTTCCAGAGTGGCTTTGCTGGCTGGCTCCACGTCTGCTTTCCTACAATTATCTGGAGAAGAAGACTCAGACTGACAGCTCAGCCCTAAGGCTAGTGCAGGAATCAGAGCTGTCCTGAACACAGCCAGCCGTTTCTGGGCAAACTGGGTGTCCTCCCTCTGTTCCCAGTGAGCATCTTCTGCAAAAGTATGTCCTCCTCAGAAATGATGGCCCACTCCAGTACATGCATGAGAAGGATAAAAAATTTGCTTTGTCCCACAACCTATAAATCAGGATGACCTGAACTTGAACAGCCTTCCAATCACACAGCAAGGCTCTCCTATTCTGACTGCTCTTCTAAAAACTGGGTGCCAGTAATATCTCTAGTGAATGAGTGTTCTACCTCCTTTCTAGTGATGAGATGATTTCCACAGGGACATGGAGAAGAATAATATTTTTCACTAGGAATTTTAAGGGTAAAACTAAAGCACAGGCGGGGTGGTATATAGCACTGTTACAGGAGCCAATACAGTCTTGGTCACAGTTTTCTTAAAAGACTGAAACAGCTATTAACAAAGAAAGCAGTGACCAATGCCAGATATTCCTGTGCACTGTTCCCTCAAGAAGAAGAAGAATTGAAAGCTTCTTCAGGTAAGACAGAAAGCATCAACAAGTTTCCAATGTCAGTGTCCAAGCTTTTGGGGTTATTGTCAGATTTGGTTTAGCATTATCTAAACAAAGTGAGGCTGGCATTGTACAGCTAGTGATGCCAGTGTACATGTATACATGGTGCATACATACCCACAGTGATAAGGGAAAGGCAGCTGCCACCTCAGCGGGAGACTCACCGAACACATCAACTCTAGCTGCAAACTTTCACCTCTAGGAGAGGCTACTCCTCATCACATGGGAGCTGCAGAGCAAGAAACTGCAGAGCTGGAGACATTTCCTTCTTGATCAAAGAAGGAACTGCCTTATAACATTGCTCCTTCTTTCAGGGGCCTTCCTCATCCCCTATTTCCTGACACTAGTGTTTGCTGGGATTCCTCTCTTCCTGCTGGAAACTGCTCTGGGCCAGTATACCTCTGTTGGTGGACTAGGAGTCTGGAGATTAGCACCCATGTTCAAAGGTACTGTGCTGTATGTTTGTGACAGCAATGATACATAACTAGAGGCAAAACTCCGTTAATGGTTTGAAGGCAAATCAGCAAATCCCTGGGGGCTGGGATGGGGTGGCAGGTGAGGAGGGGCTGGGTTCCCCCTCTGTCTTTATCAAGCTGTCCTCGACCTCAATGTCTGCAGTCACTAACATCACTGTGCTCTGTTCAAGCAGTTTTGTGTGATGACAAGGGACTTTATGGATAATATAGACTGTGACAGAGAGGCTCTGGTTGCAGAAGACCCTTTGTTTTTCCAAGCCTCTCTACATATGCTTATTTTAATTGCATAAGATTGAAACTTGTTGCCATACTTGAAGTAACTGTTTTCTAGAAGCCAATGGTGGTTTAGAAACACCTTGGATGTGGGAAAGTACAATTCTGCCAGGGAAGTGACAAGATCCTGTTTTCATGGAGCTCTGTCCATAGAATACTGGTAGCACACTGAAAGCATTGCTTCCCCAGTGGAAATGGGTGGCTGAGAGACACGGGGGAATGAGCCTCCCTTGCTAACCAGCTCACTGTACAACTATAGCAAACTCTGTGTTGATGAGCTGATTCCCTTTTTCTCGTTTTCAAAAAAAACCCTTGCTGTGGTGCCCATGAACTCCCTTGGTTACTGGAGACCTGGATTAATGCTGCTCTCTGCCTTCATTTGCAGGCGTTGGACTGGCGGCTATGGTTCTGTCCTTCTGGCTGAACATCTACTACATTGTCATCATTGCCTGGGCTCTCTACTATCTCTTCAACTCCTTCACTGCGGTGAGTCACGGGCGTGTCTGCAGCATGGCATTGTCTGTGGTCTGTGTCCTCACTCTCACTTATGGGCAGTAGCTTCTTTATGACCCACAGGAATCACTAGCTGCTTGCCATTTGTGCAAAGAGCCCTTGTCAGCATCGTGCTACACCCTTTCTGAAGAGGTTCATCAGCCTTGGAGGCAGTTTTGTGGTGCTGATGGGTAGTGATGCTTGTCCTGTGGGGCAGATGGTCCTATCCCCTCTACAGGAACTGTTTCCCACTCACTTCAGTCTTTAAAATTCAGCCTGTGTTTTTGTTTTATTTCTTGGGCTGCTTGAATCTGAGCTGCACATTTCCAGATCTAGTTTTGTCAGGTTTTGTTACATCATGGTCTTATTTCTCAGGACTTAGTTCTTATCTTAATTAGTTCTGATTCATTTCTCTCTTGATAAATTATCTCCAAGGGATTTTTTTTTTTCTGCTGGGAAAATTATTCAGAAAGTATCTAGACATCTTGTGACTGCCCCTCAGTGTGTGCTTTGGTGTTATGGTTTATAGCGGGTTCCTCTTACATAGCAGGGCCTTCTACCATACAAGGTTAGAATCATACCCCATATTAACTTCTTGGTAGCTGAATTATTTATTTCAGCCCAGAAACTGGTAAGAGTTTCATTAATGTAACTCTCTGAGCAACCTGAAGCCTTAAAGGCATCAACCAAACCAGATATTTTAAAATGTCATTTAGATATAACCCTGAAATGCTATTGTGGACAATGTACATCCAGTTTTCCTTTTTGTTCCAGCAAAACTTCCAAGTATCTATCAAGACTTTTGCTGAATAATTTCATTTGGCATTCTCAACTGTGCTTCTACCACCAATACCGCCTATCACTGTAGGGTCCTGGATCTAGAACAAAATTATTGGCTGTGGGTGATTAGATGCACCCTCAGGGATTCCCAAATAAACAGAGGCCTTCCCCAAAGTAACCCATCCCAACTATACCCTGGGCAGAATGTTTATTAGGATAAGGCTTTGGTACATTCAGGTGTTACAGACCCAGGTGGTGACAGTGCTTGTATGTACATAGGCAGATCCAAGTGTTTGGCTCAAGACCTCTTCTTTTACGAGAGAAAATTATTCCAAATTCCCAAAAGGACTTGAGGTGCAAATGAAAAATCCAGGATGATGTCTGTCCCCTATCTCTCCTAAATTTAACTAAGAGTATTTTGAACTATAATAGGAGCCCAGCCTGCCTTCTGCAGTTGCTGTCCTCTGAAATTCAGAGGAAATGGAGAAGCAACAAACTGCCTCCCAGCCTGCCCCTCCTTGTGAGAGCTGTGCAGCTTCTCTACCATGCAGACATTGAAGAGCTGCTGTGCAGCACTGCTGAAGCTACTGCCTTTTCTTCAGTGCAGTTAGCAAGTCCTCAGTGAAATCACCAGGGGGGTGGCCACTGGAATGTCACCTCCACCCCTGCAGTAGTCACCATTCTGCCAGGATACCACATTTGATGATATCATCTGCTGGAGTGAACTGATTTAGATGGAGCAGTGAAGGCAGCACTAAAAGGCACTGATGGCACAAGGCTCTTAAAACACAGATAATACCTTTGAAGAGGTCTACATTCATGGAAGAATAGGGATGGATACAAACATCTTCTTAAAGCTTTGTTGAGCTGGAGCACCAGGACTTACCTGCAGAGGGAAATCACCCAGAGTAGCTGCTCTGAATTTATCTACACACACTGTGCTTGGGAAAAGAGGTAGCTGCTCATGGAGATGTATCCGAGCTGCTTTCCTCAGGCTGGTTCAGCCATGGCACCTTGTGGCCTGGGTGAGTTCCCCTGCACACTCACACAGCCCCTGGCACTGCTGCTTCACTGCCTGCAGTGCCAGAGCTGATCTAAGTCAGTAGTGTTGTGCTGCAGCACACTGCTACCCGCAGTGTAAACATCTCCCAGGAATTCCTTTGTGCTGCTCATTATCAGGGCAGTGGACAGCATGAAACAGCTACTGTCCTGAACAATTTTCTCCTGTGCTTGTGTTATAAAAGTCTGTTTTTGTAGACAACCCATTGCCCCCATTCTCAGGGCCATGCTGCTTTTTAAGCATTGAATTTGGTGTAAATGAAACATAAGAAACAAATCCCTGCTTATTCTTTCTGCAGTAAATTCTAGCCACTTGTTGAGTGAAGCTAGCAAAAAGCTGTAATGGTTATAAACACAGTATCCCTTGATAGTATTTTAATGTGTAGGTATTAATTATCAACAGTTAATTGGAAGTGGCTTTCTATGTGGGGAATTGCTAGCATTTTATTGAAGCTACAGTATTGCCCTAATCACATCATGATATTTTTTTTCCCGAAAATCCTTATCACAATTTATCATATTTTCAAAAATTCTTCTGTTATTTTGGCTACAAGGGCATGCCCATCCAGTGGAGCTGCCCATTACCTTTGCAAAAAAATTAAGGGGCTTCAGTTTAAAAGAAGCCAGATTTCACTTGGGAGATATCACATGGATGATAACCCTGCTGTCCTTGTGCTGGTGCAGGACCTGCCGTGGCAGACCTGTGGGAATGCCTGGAACACAGACCGCTGCTTCTCCAACTACTCCCTGAACGACACCACCAACCTCACCAGCGCTGTCACCGAGTTCTGGGAGTACGTGCCCAGCCTGCCTACACCAGGTTTCTCTCCCTCCCTGTGGTCACTGTTCCTGCCCACCAGGGCTGTGCCTGTGCCTATTGGCTCTGTTCCTTGGGCAGCTTTGGCAGAAGGGCATTACAGCCAGCCACTGGCCATGGTGGGCATGGGGTGCACTGTGCAGATGCAGGTCAGATGGACAGGCAGGCAAACAGTCTCTCCACCTCTCTTTGCCTCCCTTTTTCCCATCACAATGATCCTCAGTTCTCTCTAGGGATTTGTGGGTTCTCACACTTGTCTGCACCTGGCCCTTCACCCTCCAGCCACCTCTGGGAGCTCTTAATTCCTCTGCCCTTGATTGTGAGACTTCTTTCTAACACAGTGTCTCCCACCCTTAGGAGGAACATGCACCAGATGTCCGGAGGCCTGGGGGAGCCTGGCACCATCCGCTGGCCCCTGGCTGGCACGCTGGCCCTGGCCTGGCTGCTGGTCTACTTCTCCATCTGGAAAGGTGTGGAGTGGACAGGCAAGGTACAGTGTGAGGGCTGGGTCTTTTGGTGCTGCCTGTCACTGCTGCATCATCAAAATGTCCTCCAGACTCAATTTTATTTAAGTGTCTATAACTAAGGTACAGTATTTAGAGGCAAAATCACAGTAGATACTATTAAATTCCTGACATTTACCTTTCATGGCTGTAAAAATTGCTACGATGTTTATGATAATTTTCATTCTAACTGTAGAGAATAGCTCTTGCCTGTAAGGTCATGGGTCTGAGCATTCATTCTTTCTGGGAAGAGGCATTTTCAGAAATTACTTATATTTCCCAGTTTGGGACAGCCTTTTGAGAGAGCAAAGCTTCTTGTGACCTCCCACTTTTGACAATCACAATCTCTTAAATTGCCTCTGGTGGAAAAAAGCTCACCATCTCCTTTGAAAATTTCCCTGCTGCCCTTTTGATATTGATGGGAGACGTTCAGACAAGAAGCCCATTGTTATTCCCTGTGCAGTGTTCCAGGCTAGCACAGCAGAAAGGTGATTGCTTTGTTTAGTGAAACAGCAGTGCTGAGATGCTGGGATGTGTTATTTAGAGCACAGCATGGTACAGCAGGACACTATTATGAAAGAAATAATCTAGAGGAGAGATCAGAAAGAAGCACTTCAGGGGTAGGTCACCCAAGCTGTTAACTTCCCCACTGGCTCTCAAACAGGCTTTAGCTACGCAGCCACAGCAAAGCCCTGGTGATTACTGGTGTGGGCCCTGTGATGAGGGATGGCACATATCTGTGAGATACTGAAACAGTGCTGAAAAGAAAGCAGTGGAGTCAAGACAATTTGTTTTGCTTGATGCATTGGTCTAGAGAAACACCAGCTTTAGTTCTGCAAAATAAGGATGTGATGACTTAAGGGGATTACTTCTGTGGACTAAAATTATCCCTGTGCAATTCTTTTAACTTTGGGCATTTCATCCAGCCTTCAGTCTGCTACTTTTGTGATTAGTGTGTCCTTATGTATCATTGGCAGGGAGAAACCTCAAAAAGCCAGAAACGTTACTAGCATGGGAATGGGGGACAGAAAATGCAAGGAAATGCTTCTGCAAATGGCTGTGCTTGGGAACCTGTCCCCCTCCCAGGTGAACCTGCCAGACTCAATGACACCATGGGCAGGAAAGGTCCTGCGCACTGGTGGGCTGATGGCTTCTCTCCCATGGTGTCTTTTTCAGGTGGTGTATTTCTCAGCCACCTACCCCTACTTCATGCTTTTCATCCTATTGTTCCGGGGAGTCACGCTGCCAGGAGCCAAGGAGGGGATTCTTTTCTACCTCACACCTGACTTCAGGAAGCTCTCTGACTCTGAGGTTTGTAGCCTAGTGAGGAAAGCTCTTATCTCCCAGCTGTCTCTGCATTAGGCTTCCCCAGGCACTTCCCATGAATATTTTAAGTACTTAAACAAACTCTGGAATAACCCTGTCCAAGTATTCATGACCCATGTCTCGTAGGCTGAGTCAAAACTGAGGAAAAGTTCCTTCATGGGTGGAAATCTGTGCAGCAGCTCTGCTGTACTCAAGCAGTGATATCCACAGGGTATGGGGAGTCAGAAGTTATCCTGACAAAGGGACCTGCCCTCTGGGCTGGGAATGTCTCATTTCAATGGCTGTCCTAGGGCTGCTGGTCTGGTGATCCCAGAGAAAGGATGATGTGGTGCTGGCATGGGGGCCTCAGAAAGAGCACAAGCACAGCAGCACACAGCAGCAGTTTTTGGAAGTGTTTAAGTGATGAGTGGTGGCCAGTAATGTGTTCTTGGTCACTAGAAGCAGAGAGGAGACCCAGGAGGAGCAGGGATACTTGCAAAAATGAGGTTTTTCAGGATACACAGACTTTAGAACCATGGGAGTACTGCTGCTGAAAAATGCAAAGTCACCAGTCATGTGTGAGTGGGGACAGCTGGACATTTGTCACTTCCCATCGATGGTCCCAATGATCCCTCTTTCAGGACACTCTCTGTAACTATACGACCAACTGCATTGTCTCTAATGCAGAAAACAGGGTTCTCAAGACCAGAAAAGTTGTATAAATCCTACACAATTAAAAAACAAACAGTATGTCTTTTTTTCTTGAACTTTCTAAGATTTAATACCTTAAGGCACTGGGACCAGCTTTGCAAGCTGTCCTCTGCAGTTGTTTGCACAAACAACTCCACGTTGGAAAATCAAAGACACACTAGTGGAAGAGAAATGGAGGGTGTGAGAGAAGGATGTGGGTCTCTGAGTGGAGCAGCATCCCTTGGAGGCACATGTGCAAACACACACAGACAGACAATGCAAGAGTCCCTTCTGATCTGCATGGAACACTGTTCAGAAATGCAGGACCCTTCATCCATCTACATCCATCCCATTGAAGGGCTGGGGTTATATTTCTGATGCTGGGCCAGACTGCACTTTGATACACTTGACACATGGGTAGGATGCAGATTCCCTACCTTCCAGTATATAAAGAGCCCTACAGTAAAGCCCTGGAGAGGGACTTTTGATAAAGCCATGTAGTGATAGGACAAGAAGAATGGCTTTAAACTGAAAGAGAATAGCTTTATATTAGATATTAGTAAGAAACTCTTGACTGGGCCCTACTGACAGGGTTCCCTCAGGTCCTGGACACCCAAGTGGGCTGTGCATCCAAGCACACAGCTCCACAGTCTGCACCCAGTCCCCCTGCTAGCCCTGCACTGCGCTGCTGCAGGACACGCACATACAGCACTGAGTCCCCTTCTGCTGCACTCCTCTTCTGGCTCCTTCTCCACAGGTCTGGATGGACGCAGCCACACAGATCTTCTTCTCCTATGGCCTGGGGCTGGGCTCCCTCATTGCTCTGGGCAGCTACAACACTTTCCACAACAATGTCTACAGGTCGGTAGATTTTTTTCCATCCTCCTGTGTGGCTGGGGCTCCTCATGGGTGAGGCAGGGGGTTGTGATCTCTGCCATCCCCTTGCTGGCAACATGCAGCCTAGGGGACACACTGTGATCTCTTTAGAGGGGCGCCCTGCCTACAGGACACTTAGTATGCCTCCTGTGCTACCCGTCCAAAGCACAAGACCAGCTCTGCACAGGGCTTGGTCTTCTGTTTACCTCATTCTCTTGCACTGCAGGGACCTGCAGGTGGGGTTTTTTCTCTCTTTCTCTCTTCCAGAGACTCCATTATTGTCTGTTGTATAAACTCCACCACAAGCATATTTGCTGGATTTGTTATTTTCTCTATCATTGGTTTCATGTCTCACATCACAAAGAAGTCGGTGTCAGAGCTGGCCTCCTCAGGTAAGCAGAAACCCAGGTTCAAATGCAACAGCAACCTGTGAGAACCATTTGTGTGGGGTGCCCTTGCTTCTTTCCTGGCTAGGTGTGCTGAAGTTTTATTTTGCTGTAGTGAAATATTTAGCCCATTTGCTGTCTGAAAATTTCCTATGCAGAATAGATGCTACCTATGTTTTCAGTAGATGTGATCAAAATTTGGAGTCCCTTTTTCATGCAAAATCTTGAGACTGTGATCTCAGAATAATTTTTTAACCAAGATGGGACTGTGTCTTTCTGCACAAATACATATTTTGAAATTGCTGTCTTTCCAGAGAAAGCTTTTATCTCAAGAAACAGCATTTTGCGGTGGGAAGGAAAAATAAAAGGCACCCAGGAAAGTTATAACCAGCTGTGAATACCAGTTTATTTTTCTAGCACAGTGCTCCAGCTCCATTTGGTTGCAATAATTTGATTACTTACTTGCAGGACTTGTTTCTCCAATCCTGCCTCCCCATCTTGCCCCTATGCCTCCCACCAAGCTGGTGGGTCACAGGCACAAAGGCACAGGTATTCCTAGCTCCTACATGAAAACTCCGGAGTTCTCTGCTGTCATTTTTGTATCTTTATTTAACTGTGGCACTTAGCTCAGACTTCCCATCAAATAGTTTGTAAACATGAGCTCATCCCCCTTTTCATTACTGCAGGGCCTGGACTGGCTTTCCTCGCCTACCCGCAGGTTGTCACACAGTTGCCCTTGTCCCCACTCTGGTCAATCCTCTTCTTCTCCATGCTGATGATGCTGGGTCTGGACAGTCAGGTGAGACAACTCAGGGACAAAGTGGAGGAAGATACAAAAATGTCTTCAGGTACAATTGTGATGTTCCCTTCTGCACTTGGGACAGTGCTGAGTAGAGTGGATTTTTACTCTCTTAAGGTGTGAGGGCTGTGCTTTCCTGCAGCATTTTGGCATTGTTGTTGATGCCAACAACAATGCACCCTGAGCAGAGCTGCAGCTCCCTGGCCTGGTCCATAGGTTAGCAGGGACAGATCCTAGCAAAAGGAAGGAGTCATGCCTTGGAAAAGGCTGGTGCCTGGCTACCCTGACTGCTTTGCCATCTTACCTGATGGCGAAGTTTTACAAGATACTTGAGGGGGAAGAAGTTAGATGTAGCAAAAGGGCTCTACCCTGCCCCCTCAGAGCCCTCACAAAACAAATCAAATGCAGTATCTCTGCATTTTTACAAGTGGTGATAGGATTTTTTATGATAATTCAGCATAAAAGTAACGACCCAGTGAAGCAGTGAATTGCAGCATACCTTCCTTCTGAGTGTATCAAAATCAAAGGCTCCTGCAAAAACCTGCACTTGGTCTGTCATATCTGCCCTTGTTCCCCCATGCTCTTCTCTTGCAGCACAAACCACCGGTGCAAAATGGATGCTCTTTTGAATTACAAGTAGTGTTCATAAACCCAAGCCTACTTCACAATCAGACTCAAACCTATTCTTGAAATGTCACACCTGGTTTCCAGGAAAATCTAATCAACCAAATCTAGTTTTCAATCATATCGCACTCTCATAAACACTTTATAAAGCTCATGAATGCATTACCATAGACATTATTTAGGAAAAAAATTTCAAATAATACCTGAATGCCCTGAAAGAAACTACATTTACAGAAAAAAATTATCTGCATGGATTATTCACTCAGTACTGGTAAATCGAGACATGACAATAAGCCCTCTAAGCACTCTGTGGAATTTATTTGCTGCATTTGCTTCTGAAATACCCTTTGAAATTCTCCACATCCCTTCTGACAGCCAGTTTCAGAGGTCAGGCAGTCTGTTGGGAGGCTATCATTGCCTGGAGGAAGAGGCTGGGGTGGGGGGGAAATGAAGCAACAAATGGAAAATAAACTTTTAAACAGCACAGCTAAATACATGTGAAGAAGCTTTCTGTCTGCATGCTGGAGCTCTGCTTCATTCAAACACATCAGCAACAGCATGGCAGCTTATGCATATAAACCAATGAACATAGGCTGCTAAAATGGCTGCAATTCCACGTGCGTTTTGAAGCATTCAGTTAAAAAAAACCCCAAAAACAGAGGTTTTCTACATGCTGATTACATATCCTTTGTGGCATTTGCAGATGGGGAGCAAGCATTTTTCATTTGGGTCAGCAGCCCAGTTCACGAGGCACAGCAGGGCCATAGGGCATTTCCTGCACCCCAGGGCAGCTGGGCTGAGACTGCTGCTTGTCACCGGCAGGGCACAGCTCTGTAGGCACAGCAGGGATGCCCTGGAGCCGAGCAAGGGAAGGGAGACTGGGCTGAGGTCTGTGTTTGTGATGCAGGTCCAGCCCTTTAGTGACAGTGGAGTCTCCTGCAGATGCAGCACAGCTCCATCTGCTCTTCCTGCCAGAGTGCTCTGCGGTTCCTTGAGTGGGATGAATGACCTGTACTGACAGACACGTCCCACCTGTGCCCCCACTCGTGTGCCTTGGTGTTTCCTCTGCTCTGATCCATCCAGGCTTCATCTCTCTCCCATCCAGACCCTCTTTCATAATATGCTTGTGCTTCCTTTTAATGTACCAGTTTCCAGGTCAGGTATTAATTGCTCAGGGGAGCTGGCAAGCCTTGTGACTGCCAGCCTGTGTCTGTCCCATGTGAGGCTGCCTAGCAGTGGTTGGTCATGAGGATTTCCAGCTGCCAGCAGTGCGACCACTCTCATGGCTCTCTGCTGCACATCTGGCAGCTGTGGTCAAACTCCCCACAGGTCCATGCATCGCAATAGGGTGCTCTGTGTGGCTGAGGAGGGAATAGCAATTGGGAGAAGGTGGAAGAGAGACACTCCTTCAGACAGAAGTGCCACACCTACATTGACTCCCAAACCCAGATTACTGGACCCAGCAGCTTGTGTAATGATTAGGCCCCTAAAGAGGAAAAGGAGCAAAAGAGAGAGGTTAATGGAAATAAAATGATTGGGAAAGAAATAATATCATGGGTTGAGGCATGAAGAAGAGAAGAATGTGTGCTAAAAATTGTTGCTGGAGAGGGTTGTTGGGAAAAGCAGAATTTTTTGGAGAGTGAACTGCAGTGGCAAGAACAGGAGTCACCAATTCTCAGCTCCTTGCCACTTTGAAAGCAGCATGCTTTCATCCAGGAGTCTTCATGTGCAAGCAGCCAGGGTTTGGTCTGTAAGCTGGGAAAAGTGAGCCCCATGCCAAGCACCTGCAGTCCCTGGGGCTGGAAAGGTAAGCCTCCTCCAGGCTGCATCCCCTATGAAGTCTGAGGCTGTCATGAGGCAATTTTCAGTAAATGGTATGAAGGTCATTGCCTGTTCCATGGCTAGAAAAAGCAATGTATGACCATTTGTTTCTCCACCTTATCTGTTACACAGAAGCTTAATTCTGATAGGAGACAAAGAAAATTCAACTCACTTTGTAGCCCTGTTCCTTACCACCCATCTCCCTGTTTTTCCCTCTGTGCATTCCCTGATTTTGATTGTTCTTCCTGCACCAAAGAGCTGTCAGCTATACTCCATCTAATTACCTAAGGCATAATTTTCTTTGCTCCTTTTCTGCTGCACACCACCCTCTGCCCACGACCAGGGCTGTTCCCTCACAAATGCATTTGCCTTTTTTGTCTCAGATCCCCCGGCCCTACCATGGCTCTGGCAGTACCTGGCCATGCATCCATGTGGAAGGAATAGTTTTCAGCAGTGTTTTTTCATGTCATGCCATCTCTTCACATGGTGGTGCCACCTCCGTTTTGACTCTTCCAGACAACGAGCCAGATGGGATGGGGCGAAGCGCTCACTGTCAATGACTACAAAGGCAGCTTAACCCATGTGTGAATGGCAAAAGATGCATTAGTGGCACTTGTGTCCAGCATAAAAAGCTTAGCTCATTAAAAATTCAAGTGTAAACAGTTGAGCTTTGACACTCTGGGAATACTGGCTTTCCATGTGGATATAAAACCCTGGGCATACACATCTCCCTTTGCCTTGCTCTGCCTCAGCAGTCAGCAGTGTGCAAGCTCTTCCACAATCCCTGCCCAGCCATAGCTTCAGGCACTCCATTTTTTTTCCACACATCTTCCCAACACTCTGCTGCTCTTTTTGGTCTGTGTACCTCTACCTTCACTCTAGGGTTTTTTGTTTTTTTTTCTTCTCAGAGCTGGGGAAGTCCCCAACATCGAAAAGTGATGAAACCACTTTCATTTTCATTGCACTTGCTGGTACATTTGCTTGGCATGACCAGGGAAGCCAGTTTGCTGCCCTCATAAATTCCCAGGTTGTTGCTAGAGGCAAGATGTGCTCTGTGAGAGGGTATGCTACCTGCAGTTTCTGGGACTGAGATATAAAAGTAAATATCACAGTTTATCAAAAGATAGGAGAGAAGAATGCACTTCACAAGGGCAGTCAAACTGCCCTTGTGCCAGAAGGCAGAACTAGTAGGAAAATTGGAAGGCAGCACTCATGGGGATTTTGTTATGTGTTATGGTGCAGACGACATTCTTATACAGCTCTGCACAAACCATCCAGGGATTTCCACCTCTAGAAAGGTGATGTGCTGTGAAGATGGGCTTTTGGTGTGCTACATGCATTTAATGTTGCTTGAAAAAGTGAAATGAAGTCAAGTACTGGGTAATCAGAGATGTTGTTATTTACATGCACATAAGAGTGGATAATACAGGTCCTTATTAAGCATTTTAGATCATTGAACAGCGCAAGTGCTGTTGCCACAGGCTGAGAAGAACACGAAGGTCCTGCAAGAAGAGTGATAAAGGACCTGCACATGTCCCAGCAGCAGCCAGGCACACAACTCTGGCACAGGGCCTAGCAGTGTGGGGAGCAGGGCAGTGATAGGGAGACCCTAGAGAGTCTGTGGGAAGAAAGAGGAGGCTTTCGATGAGAAGCAAAAGGAAGAGATTATCCGAGGTATTTTTAAGTATTTAACTTTGGTGCTCCTAGCTCCATCTATATTCAGTGGGGAGAGAAATGAATTTTCAGAAGGTAGTTCAGACCAACTTTGTGCAGAGATGACTCTTCTAGACTCTGCAGAGTCTATAAATCACTAAGGTTCTCAACATTGAAGTTGAATTTGTACAGGTTAAGTTACTTATATATATATATATATATACATATCCTGATTGTATGCCTTTTCCCATAGTTCTGCACTGTGGAAGGGTTCATTACAGCCCTGATGGATGAGTATCCTCAAGTCCTAAGAGCCAGGAAGAAGATCTTTATCGCAGTAGTCTGCTTCATCTCTTATCTCATTGGATTCTCCAACATCACCCAGGTACAGATTGTACAGGCTGTGCTTGTACCCCCATTCCTGACACCTTTCTGGCCACTTGGCATATCACAGCACCACCGAAGCTTTGGGAGAAGTGACAGCATTTCTCCTGTTCTGGATAAAGTGGTTTGTTCATCACTGCTACATCTCAAGTGACTTAGGATGCCTCCATAATTTTTAGCATCATCCTATTGTCAGTCTGGCCTGTTGTTCTGCTATTTGCAATAAGGACTCAAGCCAACAGAGCCCAAATTTAGGGAATACTTGCTTCAAAGAGTTAAGATAACACGAAGAAAACCTGTCTGTTGGGGGCTTGAACCTCTGGAGCTGAAGCCAAGGTTCACAGGAGGTGAGGTGAGGGCTGAGTGGTCTGGAGACCATTTGTGGAGCAGTGTGGGTTCATGAGGAGGCAAAACAAAACTCTGGGGAGGGGCAGAGCAGACTAACTTGACTCCTTCTAAAGCAGAGAAATCAAAGAGATCCTAGTGAATTTCCTTTCTCCTCACCTTGGGCTATGCCTGAACAGGCTGGCTGATTGTCTGCAAGAGCACATCAGTTTTGCTGTTGGGAGCCAAACTCCAGTGGAAACATTGCAACAGTGGCTCTACCGTCCAAGGAAATGGACATTAAACCAACAGACACGGACAGTAGCAATCCAAGCTGCTGGCTGATATTGTCGATCATCATCTATAACTGAACTCCTTGACCCTGTTTTTGTCTTTTTAGGGTGGCATTTATGTCTTCAAGCTGTTTGATTACTACTCAGCCAGTGGCATGTGTCTTCTTTTTCTTGTCTTCTTTGAGACCATCTCAATTTCTTGGTGTTATGGTAAGCACAAAACACCTTGTTCCTTTGTTTTCTCTGTGGGCATGGTGACATGCTGAAAAAGCATGAAAAAGCCAGTGAAGACAATGACAATTTTGCAGCCGAAAATAGCTTACATTGATAACTTCAGAAAATCAGGAGTGGAAGGCTGTCATCTCACTTCTCCAGGCCCTCACAAAGACCTCAGCACAGACTGGCAGATGCCCAGGGTCCTTCCCTTTGGGCCCTCAAGAGGACACCAGAAACATGGAAGCTGTTAGCATGAATTTGTGTCCCACTACCCCATCTGCTCCAGCTAATGCTTTTCATGCCACACTGTCACCCTCTTGCTGTGCCTGGCCTGTGCTTTCCATGAGAAGAGATGAAGACCGTGGTACAGAGATGGTTATTTTCAATACTCATTTCTTCTGTAGGTGTGAACAGGTTTTACAGGAACATTGAAGAAATGATTGGCTACAAGCCTTGCATCTGGTGGAAGATCTGCTGGGCCTTCTTCACACCTCTTGTCTGCCTGGTAAGACCTGGGGAATCCTATGTGTAAGAGCAGGTCTAGAAAGGCCTCTAGATGGGCTGTAAGGAAACATTCTGTTCTCAACCCAAGCACAGGTCTGCTGCAAGGGAGTCCCAGGCAGACTGGAGATGGGTAAAGTGATACAGGAACCCTTTTCACTCTGCCTGCTGGAAATAACCATAAAAAAGTTCTAGATGATTGCTTTTAATCTAAATAAGGCCATAGGGGATTTTTTTTCCCCCTGAGATGCGAGAACATAAGCGAAATAATGTAATGTTTTAAAAAGCTATTATTGGTTCTAGCTTTCAGCTACTCCAGCTTCAGCCTCTGACAAGCTTATGAAAACAAAAGCTACAGCAATTGCAGGATAACTGACTGCAGAGCAGTTTGGCCTTTGCAGGTTCCTGCCCTTCCAGCAGAAGTAGTGCAGGGAGTGGTGTGATATGAGGACTCCTGAGACCAGCTGTGAGGATGCTGTTTACTTGCCTAGGAACTGCTGTGGTGGCACTGCCTGTCCGAGTAGTCTAGAGAAGAAGGAAATATGGGGTATTCCAATTCCAGCTTTTTGGAAACTTAGGATATCTTATCCAGCTTAGGATAAGAAGAAATGATATGAAATTACCAGTTGGTGTGCTGAAAGAATCTAGACTAATGAAAAGAGCTGCTGGGTTCCTGTAAGGCTGTTGGGAGCTAAGAAGATAATGAAGGAAAGAATGGCAGGACCCCAATTTTGCACTTTCCCCTGCAATAGCTGGTGTTCTTTTCTAGGGTGTGTTCTTCTTTAGCGTGGTGGAAATGACCCCTCTGACACTGGGAAAATACGTCTATCCTGTGTGGGGACAAGGCATCGGTTGGCTCATGGCCCTGTCCTCCATGCTTCTGATTCCAGGGTACATGCTGTACTCTTTCTTCACCTCAACAGGAACTCTCCAGCAGGTAGGAACAGCTTCACCACCCTGCCCTCTGCTCAGGGTAAGCTCCTCCCTGAACCCAACCTGGACCAAGCAGACCCTGCTCTGACAAAGTTATCAGAGTGCAGTGGGTTGGTGCTACGGGAGCTCTGTGCACCGTCTCCCCAGGAGAGAGGAAGGGTTCAGATCAGTCCCAGTGCACTGAACAGCCTCCAGTGACACGGGCTCACTGGAGAGGAGCTGCCAGCACAGCTGAGCAGGACACATCTAACTCTGGGAGCTCAGCTGGGCTGTGGCTGGGCATGCAGATAGACCTTCAGATGGTCTACCCTTATGTCTGCTGTTCTTCAATGAGATTTGTGTGACCATCACCACAAAAATGTAGCCCTCCTCCCCTGACTCTTGTTTTGGCATGGTGTACTGGAGCCATGGAAGAGTTTGGGAAAAATCCTTGAGGTTTCTTGATCCAGAGAAATCCCAGCTCCTGACAATTCCTGGCTATGAGCATGTTTACTTGGCACTCCTCAGCAGGAAGATCATCACCTCCAAGCCTGAATCCTGAAATGTCTCAGGCTAGGTCTGCAAGCAGCAGAAACAAGCACAGGGGTGGATTGTCATGTGCCTTTCAGAGAACACTCAGTGACTGAGGTATTAGGAAGCAAGAAAGACCCACAATACCCACCACACTAGTCTTGTTTAAAACATTTTTTTTAGTAATTTGAGCAGGATTTTATGAAGCAGTGAATCTTGTGTCATACCCAGTACTTACTGTTAAGATTTTATCCACAGTGTTGACATTCAGTCTCGAGAGCACTGTGCCCCAAATCCCTGGCTCAGTGCTTACAGCTGTAAGAAGTCACCCCAAGAGTGTTGATTTATGGCTTTCCCAGCCCAGCTGGAACAGCAACCAGATGCCATCTAAATCACATGAGTTTATTTTCGAGATGCTGTATTTTTAACAAACCTTGACTCGAAGTTGTGGCGGGAATTACTGGGCTGAGGTCAGCTTCAGATTCTCTTCCTTTGAGGTGAAGTTGCAGGTGTATTTGAGTTTTCTTCCTCCCAGCATTCCATTTGGATGGACTCTGATGTGGGTGAACTGGGTGGGTTTAGGATCTCAAATCTGCTTTCAATTTTTGGTTTCTCATCGGAAGCTGGGTTTAGGTAGTTGTCCTTCCTGCAGGACTCGAGCCAGGGTGTTATGTCAAGCTGCTTCACTGATTTTGGGTTTAAAGCCAACTGAATTGCAACTGTAGGCCCTTTCTCAGACATTTATAGGGCTCCTTATTCACTCATAATGTAACTTGGAAAAGGGGAAAAGGGAAGCCTGAAAGTACAGGTATGGGTTCAACCCTTTGCCTAGTCCCAATCCTGCTTCACTGGAGATGGAAGAAAGCACATCACAGCATCTGGTGGAGCCCAAACTGGTCTGTGACCTCTCAGGAGTGGCTCGACTCCTTCTGACCAAAGGCTTGTGCCAATTATATCCATAGTCCTTCCAAAGTGCTGTGTATTCCTGTGCTGCCCCAGGGGCTTGGAGGGAAGATCCTGAATGTGTTTCCACCCCTCCCCTCAGCATCTTGTGCAAACCATCAGTACCAGCAAGCAGCATGAGTGGCTGATGTGCACCCTCCCAGTCTGACTCTTCTAACATTGCCCACAAACATCACGAGACCCAGACCCCCTCTCAATCATTCATAGACCTAGGAGGGAGCAGCAGATGGCAGCAGGAAGAAAGTAGGCTAATCTGTGTGTGCATGTGTTGGTATCGGAGAGACAGAGAGAATTTTTGGCCTCTTATATACACAGATCCTGGATTAATTTGTAATAGAGCTGGAGCTGGAGGGAAATTAGATGCCAATCCTGAATAAAGTGGTTTTGACAGACAGGAAAGATTACAAGTAATTTTGATCCTACTGAGCCTGAATGTTAGAGGGAAAAAAAATACAATAAATGGCAGAAGCAGTTCAGTGAACATTCAGGGAATTCACTCAGAAGCAGGCACTTCACTGGTATTGGAGGGTAGGAGTTTGTTTCCCTTTACTGGAAAGAGGTTCTACTTGTTTTAGTGATGTCTGTTCAGGTCAGGCTTAATCCTCCTCTGCATTCTCTTGTGCAGTGCACAGCATCAGTCCCTCCCTGACTGGCAATAGTGATTCATTCTTTTTCATCACTCCTGATGCTCAATCCACATGCCTCCAGTAATGATTGGCCCCTCCATATTTTCATGGGTTCTTGCTTCACTTTACTTGACTCTGCAATTTCCGTTTGATCAACTCAGGCTGACAGGAATTGCTGCTGTGCAAAGGTTTGTGCAGGTGGATGTTCTGACTGGCATCAAAGGCACAGACCTTAAAGGCACCTTGTTAACCTGCTGTAATTACTTAGTAGTGTTTTGTAATCAACCCTGATTGAAAAATAGGTCTACTCTGAAGCCTGTGGCATTGCAGCTCTCTCTTTTTCCTCCTTGCAGCTGGTCTTGCCTGGTAAGAGTTTGCCTCTTATCAGGATGTTCCCCATATTCCAGATAAAAGGAGGAGCTGCTGTGCTCTGTGCAGCATCAAAGCAAAGGTGACTTGCAGAGGGTTTTGGGGTACTACCAAATGCTGCTGGAGGAGTCACTCCATGCAGCATCCCCTTGCCCTGTAATGAGGGTCACCTCTGAGCCATGTGGTGAGGGTTCCAACCCTCACCATGCCCTGGCTGTCCCCCTGCTGCTGCCCCAGCCCTGGCTGACACTCTCTCCTTTCATTCCTGGCAGCGTTTGCAGCAGATGACGCAGCCCAGGCCAGAGGTGCATGCTCAGAACAATGGTCTCCAGCCGAAGACGTCCTTGAATGGGAGGATCTCAGATGATGCCGTGTAGGAGGAAAGACCAAACTCCTCGCTCTGCCCTGTAGTTGCTCAGTCCACATTGTCCCTCGAGCTCCTCTGGCACAGCTTGCTGTCCCTGGCTCTGCAGTGGCTTTCGATTGTCCAAGAGAGGACCCGGTGCAGGAACCTGTTCGTGGCTCTTCCTCCTGGCATGGCTGACCAAGGCCCTGGACAAGCTGCCACCAGGGCATTGTGTGGTGACCATCTTCATCCTTCAACATCCTGGTCCAGGCCCTCAAGGAGGAACAGCTGGTACCCACATCTTCCTCCTCCTGAGGAGAAGTGGTGTCTCTAGAGAGCTTTTACTGTTATCCACTTCTCTGTTTTACTTGCCTTTCCATGTGAAACTCCACAGAGCATCCCCCAGCACACAGCTGTGTTTCACCCCAGAGATTGCTATCACTAGGTTCAAATCCCAGATGACTGTTGATTGATGGAGCATAAACCACCAGCAAATACATAACTGGAGGGGATATGCAGAACAAAGGGTTCTAGTAGAGAACAAGGGATTCTAGTGAGAAGTCCTGCCTGTTGGTAGCTGTAGGACATCACCCAACACCTGGAGAAGGGCTGGGGAACAGTGTGTGCTGCTCACAGTGCCATGTTTCATTCCTGCACAGTCTCCAGACATGTTTGCTGCATCTATTGGGGCTGGCACTGTGAGCCAGGGCCCAGTGGAGCAGTCAACCTTTCTTTCCTGGAGCCTCCTACCCTCTGTAGTTGTGTGCAGTAGCCACAGCCTGACCCTAAAAAGCAGCTAAAAGGGTAAATGGAGGGCTCTTTGCTACAGGCTGTTCAAGTCTCCCACACTGACCACAACAAGCTTCATGCAGAGGCAAGGCTGTGTGATAAAGAGATTTTCCAGCACTGTGAAAATCTCCACCCAAGATAAAACATGGTAGTTCCTGCCAAGCATCCTCCCTGGCTGTGTCCCTGCATGGGAAACAATCAAACAGAACATGATGGCCATGGGTGGTTCAGTTTATACTTTTTTCAGGAAGTGGCCACTCCTAAATCCCAGCTGGTGGGAGGCAAGAATTCCTGAGGCAGTTGGCAGGATGTAGCCACTGTGCTTAAACCCACCCCTGTGAAACAGTGCTAACTTCCCTTGGGATGTGTCTGTTCAGCCAGATTGGTCACTGGCACATCCCAGCTCCCAACACATAAACCACAGAGGGCTTTGAGCTCTTGTAGATGGTGCTGGAGGAGTGTAACACCTTGGAGAAGGCTGAGAAATGTTTCAGAGCCATCCTTAAACAGCAGCATATTTCTTGGTAGGAAAGCTTTGTGGAAGGAGGTGGCTGATCATAGCGCCACATGTAGGTGTGATAGTGATGCTCCCAGTTGTGCCAGCCTCCCAGTGACACCACACAGAGATATCCTTGTACACAGAGTGTTTGATGAGCACACCTACTGTGACTTAGTGCTGATTAGTCTCTCCCTTCCCCTGGCACAGCATTGCCAGGTCTGCTGACACTCCCAGCTCTAGATCAGAATCAACAAATTCATAAATGAGCATTCAAGAAAAAATACGTCCCACCCATCTTTCCTACCAAAGAGTCTGGTCTCAGAAGTGACACACTGCAGTCCCCAGGCATCCTACTGCAGGTGACAGGTAAGTGATGAGCCTTTGCACAATTCTCTTGCTCTCCAATAGTAGTTGCTGCAGGTTGACCCTGTGCTGCTTGTCCCTGTGACACACCAGAGCATGAGGCCAACCTACTTTTCTGCCAATCTTCCAGCCTATGGATCAGGAACAGAAGGAAGAAAGTTTTCTGGTGAAAGCTTTGGGAGTGGGTCCCCTGCCAACTCATCGGTGCATCTTCAATTACTGTTGCTTCAGATGTGTAACCAATCTGTATTTGTAGATGTGATTCTCAGCAGTCATGGCTGCTGGGCATTACGCGCATGTTTTTGTGGTCCCCAACACCCTGAGCTGAGATCACACCCTGTCCCACCTGTAATTGTTACAGTGTTTGTGTCAAAAAAATTGCAGCTGTTAAATAGACATGAGGAAATGCTGAGTTGATAGGCTTAGTCTTGTAAAGCCAAAAGCCAAACACTGAAAGCTGCAATCATAGCACGTCACTATTAATCACAGCCAGTTACAGACATGTCATCTTTCCCTGTCCTTTAATTGTCTGTGCTACTGTATCTGAACATTTCTATTCCAATTTCACCTATTTTTATGAACCGGGGCAATAAGGAAGCCACTCTTTATAAACATATATTTCCTTAGAGAGGAACATCTGTGCACAAAAAATGTATTTAAGCTCTAAACTTTGCAGTAATTACCCTTACTAGAGACCTGCTTTTGCCTGTGCATCCAGGTCCCATATCATCCCTTCCCTCAAATGCAGACTGAGGGTTGCACAGGTGGGTGATGGGCAATGGACTCAATTTTTGAGTGAGGCCATAAAACCATGGAAGACTTTGTTTCTTCCAACTTTATTGGGCAGCTCAGGACTGAGGAAGAACAAATCAGTGTTAAGTGGTAATTTTTTTGTGTCTTGGCCAAAGAGCTTGATTGCTTGCAGAGCTGTTCAAAGGTTGTTTCTTCCATGGGAGTAGGGAAGGAAGGGTCCAGAAAACAAAATTCTTTCCCTGGTTGCCAAGGAAATCTCTAAACTCCCAATTCCTGTTTGCTAGGATTTTAGCTCCAGCATCTGACTTGTGGCCTTACCTGTGGCACATTGTTCCAGATGTAGCAGCAGGGGCTGCTCATAATAACAATATTTGATGAGCTTTAACAATTTGCTCAGTTTTCTGCTTGTGACCTCCTCCTTTGCTTTCTCCCTCCTGCCCTGCTCCTTTGTTTCTCTTGCCTCAGTCATTCCCTGTTATCATTTGTCAAGTGGAAATTATCTACCTCAGCTTTCTTCTTCCTGCTTTCTTAGTTCCGGTACTGTAAAATTGAAACTCTCCCTCCTTTCTCTTCTGCTTTCTATTCTTTCCTCATTTCTATCTATTATCACCAGCCTCTCTTCCCTGTTTCTCTCACGTGCTCTCCTTCCAACTTAGTGCTCCTTCCTGCATGCCTGTGGCTAAGCCTCACGTTGTGTGCATGCTCAGCACTTCTCCTGAAAGCTGGAGCTCAGGATCCCACAGAGAGCCCCACCTTTTCACAGGATCCAGTCCCTAAGAACCAATTTCCATCCCAATATCAAAATTATAATGAAATTCCAGGTATTTCTCTTCCTCTTTGCACCAGAAAATGCTGTGCCAAGGAATACTTTCTCCTGGTATTACTAGAAAGACATTTCAACCCACATTCCCCAAATGTGCACAAAGCTGTGCCTGTTCTGAAAGATTTTATGGCCTTTCCTGTTTTTTGCACTATGTTATTTCCACCATGAATATTTGGATCTGTGAAGTCTGGCATGCATAACCTTGTAGGTAGGAATTTGCCCTTAGTCAAGCTCTGTCTGATGGACTGATCCCCTTCTCCAGAATTGCAGACTCATCCCATCCTTAGTGCTAGAAGAACTTTCCCACCTCCCTGCACAGGTTTTCCATCTAAGGAGAAGTCAGGGGTGTTGATGGACCCCCTTAAGCTCATCCCACACCTCTGAAATGCCACTGTGGGCGGGTCTGTCAAAGCAGTCATATCTGTTAATTGACTGTAAGAGCTGCTTTTGTCCTGTTCCCAGGGTGCACCACATTTGCTGACCACCACTCTGCTCCTCATTCCTTCTGGCTCACCCAGAAGAGAGGATGCATAGCCAGGGTGTAGATTGCTCCCCTCTCCTCACTGCTGTAGTTCAGAAGGGGGTTGTTGTCCCCTGTGCCCAGCTACAGCTCTCCTGCCTTTTCTCTGTCCCCTCACCTCCCCAGCACCTGCCAGCCTCTCCCCCACACCATAGGCAGCAGCTTGAAATAATCCTTTATGAAATCTCTTAATTCTAAGAAGCTATTTAGGGACCTGTGTTCAAATCCCTCCCAAATCCTCTTTTTCCTGAGGCCTGCAAAATATAAAATATATGCCACTGCCCCCATCCTCTGCTGCAGCAGGGGGTGACACAGGCCATGGGAAAGGCAGGATTGTTCAGGCACTGCTCAAGAGCTGCTTCCCCTGGAGACCCAGGTGTGATCCTCTCCCCTGGGAGAGGGGAGCTCTTTCTGCTGCCATTCTAGCAGATGTGCTCCAACAGCTGGCAGCTGGTTATAAAAGACTTGTGCCATGTCCATGACAGGAAATGGTGCTGTGTGGCACTGGAAGGCTTTGGCTGGCCAGCCACTGTGCAGCTGGTAGTCTCTCCACAGTTCTATTAAATGGTGTGTTGAGAGTTGTGTTGTGCATCAGGGGTGCCCTTAAAGCTGGTGTCATTCTGGATGAGCAATTTGTCCTTATCCATTGCCTCTTCCAGGGGGCTTCTCTTGGGACAGGAGGATCCTGGTTGCATTTGGTGATGTTGGCTAAATGGGGATGGGGTCTGCATCACTCATGGGATATATCCACTGTGGTTTGGCTTGTACTGAGGGCTACCAGCTTTCACCAAGCACTGCCTGCCTTCCTCAGCAGCTGAGACCTTGAGGTGTAGTGCTCATCTCTGGGTGTCTGCTGGGCTGGAGGCCACATGGAGTGCCCATAAAACACAGCAGAGGATGGGGTGCATCCCACCATCCCCACTGCAGCCCTGCCTGAGGCAGCTGTGTGGGGCTCCTGACAAGTGTGTGTCCATCATCCCTGTGATGCTGTCAGTCGGGAAGTGTCCATGCCTGGAGATGCTCAGGAGAGGTTAGTGCTCCCCGTGCCGATACCTGACAGCCACGATGCTGATGAAGATGCCTCCTGACAGCCTGGCACGATGCCACTGTGCTGCCAAGAAAATGGCACCAGCTTTCACTGCGGCCCCAGGGACCAGCCACAGGCCCTCGTGGGGTGGCACACGTCCCTGCCACAGCTCTCAGGAACAAGCAGCGCTCACCCCCACAGCTGCAGCCCTGTGCAGAGTGGTCATGGAGGGATTTATCCTGGCCAGGCAAGGTGCT